TGCCTCCTGCCGCGTGTTGCGATCGGCCGCCGCATTAAGCCGCTTGCCTCCGTACTATTCAGCCACGTGACATTACCGTACCGCTCTGTCCCGTGATATCACAGCTGCTCAGAGGCAACTGTGACAGCATTGCCGTGTTCACAGCAAGCGGCCACCAGAGGCGCTTGCCTACACCTGGAGTCGAGGGTGGGGCAGCACGTTCGCAGCTCACGTTCCAGGCATAGTTTTTCTAGGAGGCATTGCATTAACCATCCCAGCATTCGTGCAAACATCTGTGTAGTTTGCCGGTCTAACGTAAACAGTGTAAGGAACAGCTTATGATCTGTGTAGATCTAGAATGGGCAGCTAAATACATAGTCGTAGATCTTCTCTACGCCTGCAACCACTGCACATGTCTCCTTATCAATCTGGGCATAATCCTGCTCGACAGAACGTAAAGTTCTTAAATAAAAAGGGATGGGTGCTTCTCTTATCATGCATTTTGTGGCTCGACGACGCTCCTATTCCATATAGAGAGGCATCACAGGCAAGGATGATGGGCTCGTTCTCGTTGGAATTTGTTAGCACCCGGTTTGATGCCAGCAGTTTCTTCACATGGCCAAATGCTATCTGTTCTGGAGTTTCGCACACTCAGGGCACCTCCTTACGATGCAGGGGTTCTGCGATGGTGGCCTTCTGTGGCAAGAACGCATAATAAAAACTAAGAAGACCCAGGAAGGCGTGCAGCTAGGCTTTGTTCGAAACAGGGGGTGCATTAAGGATGGTTTTGGTCTTGACCTTTATTGGATGGATGCTGAATACTCAGAAATTCTAAAATTCCTTTTTAGTCCCTTCTAGATGGCTTTTTTTTTTTTTTGACCTTAAGCCCTGCATCTTGAAACCACTCGAGGGCCTCTTGAAGGTAGCTGAGCGATCAGAAGATTGCAGGTTTGAGTCCCATCGTGGATGTCAGATGATTGTAACGCTTGTTGTACATGCCGTGAGAAGAGGAAATAGACACAGGGACGTGGTAACAAAACACGACGCTTAAACACAAAAAGAAGAATAGCTAAACAGGTACATAAACACAAGCACAATAGCACATAAAAAAGCAACAATAAGGAAATAGCTGCAGTACTTACTCATATATAAGTAGACTTTTTTTTTTTTTTTTTTTCAGAAAATGCTCTTCATAACCAATTATCCTCCTATATTCATGACCAAAGACTCTCGACCTACATTCACGATCGAAATAACCAGAAGCGCCGAGCTTATGGTGTTCAACTGCCGTGCCCCCTATTCTTCAAGCAGTTCTTGCTGCGTAGGCACGTTATATACCATTAAATCTGGAACAGAGACCCCTCCTTTTTTCAGGCTACCAAAGTAATTAAGAAAGAAATTATTGATGCAATAGCCACTTACCGCCTTTTCAAAGCCCCCGCAAAATGCAGCCGCTCCGCCATGCTTGCAATGAAACCCACAATTTCCCTAGGTATAGGTCGTGAAGTCTCTAGTCCACTAGCCGTGTTTCCAGTACTCCCTTTCTGCACGCAACCACACTGCCACTAACTTGAAGCCTCACGCTTTGTTCATTGTAAGTTCAGCGTGAGTGGGTGACTGTTTGCATTTGCTTTAGGCGCAGTGCCGTGCTCCCTACCGGGCTGTAAAAATTTGGTGCCTTCTTCTAACCACCACCACCGTTTGCTTGTGCACAGTTGCAACGATATCACGTCGGCAAAGCTACACAGGCGACTTCAAGTGCCAAGTGATACTTTTTGCCGAGGACTCGAGCAATGTGTCGCGCAGCGAGAGTTCTGAGTAAATGAGAAGTTGATTAGGGGTTGGCGAAAGCATCAGGACCATCTGTTTGCGTGCAACGGACGGCGTCGTGCTTTTCGCGGCCCAGCAATCGGCAGCGAGGACGACGTCATGAGGGAAGCCGCGGATGCTAGTGAAGAATCCAATTACAACAACATTGTGCACATCTGACAAGATGACAGCCTCGGCAACGATTAGGGCGCTATGTTATGTAAAAAAGGGTTGCTATGTTTCAAATTTTATGTTTCTAAATAAAAAAGAAAAACACGGGCCCGCCTATATTGTTTTTTATTTTCTTGTAGAGTACTACAAGTAGGAGTTGACCTATATTCATGCCCGACCTAGTTTCGAGTAAATATGATAACGTGAGCTCAGTAAAAAATCTCCGAAAACCTCACTGTGCTATGGAGGGTACAACAGATGCTAAGGTGCAGGGCCGGAGGCGGTGACGGGCAATGTGGTACATCGCAATTCGCGACGCTGCAGCTCGATGGCGTGGGTTTGACAAGCAGTCGACCTGCATCTGAGACAGCGATGCGCCATGCAGGTAATGGTCAGCTTGTCGAGCGAACAGCTTGCATCGAGACACGATGCGCGGTGCAACTATCACCACTAGCCAAACTAAGCCCGTTGCTGTGCTGAACAGATGACCGCGGAAATGCCTCACCGAGATCTATGATGCTGCCAGCAAGAAACAAAACAGCCAGCCAGACCGCGCCGGCGAGATGCAGTACTGATGCCAGCAAGGCATCCCCAGCTGGTAGTTGGACGGCAGCGTTCCCTTGCCGGACCCTGGATCACTGGCATTCGATGCCTCGGCTCACTGTCTTGTGTCTGCCGCTGCTTTGGCTTGTACCTAGTTACGAAGCTTCCCGCCCTGTATTCATCCCACGTGGCTTAATCACGGCACGCTACCTCGATGGAACCACAAAAGTCACCAGTTGCACACAAGTCACCAGCTGATCAGCTGGCCTTAAAAGCCAACTCCGACGATTTTTCAACCATGTCACAGTAATGGTGCTTCCATGTTCCTGAGGCACTTTTTTTACGAACCCGATAGCTGTATGCTCGGCAAATTCTAAAATAATATTTATTAAGCAAAAAGGTGCTGTACCGAAACCAAAACCCAACCGAGTGCACTGTCTATGTATGACGTAATATTTCGTAAGGACCGGTAGCCGTACACTTGTCCCGCCGGCACGGAATATGAAAACTGTGGAAGCAGGGACGAGCAGGCACTCTGAGCAGAGGTGAGAGCACCTCTGCTCCAAGTCCCGTAATATTCGTTCTGAGTGCGAGAAACCAATAGAGTTCAAGAAGACTTGGGCACCTCTCCTTGACAATGACAAGGCGCAGCTGGCCATCAAGATCTTTGAACTGCACTCACACTGTACCAATTCCTTGTACAGCAATGCAGTTGGCTTAAAAGTCTCTCATGTCGATGTCAAGTGGCTGTAGATGCAGTACACACCCCATTGCAAAAAAATACATTTGGCTGTGGCGTCGGAGATGGGATTAACGGATTGAATAGGTTGATCCTCAGTCCACCTTCATCTGGAACTGTACGCCTTCGATTGTGACGTCCTTCGATTGGCCGCCTTCGATTAGCCGAGACACTGCATTGACAGCAATCATTGTCAAGTCATCGCAGTAACCATGTTTGTGCGAGAGGCGTTCTTGGAACACCGAATCCAGCCGTTGGCTTCAGAAATTGTAAACCAGACTGCCACCGGGACCAAAAGACCTTAGCAATGTGCCCAATTTTTCTGTGTTCTCTACACTGGACAACATGGAATCAATGCAGGCGGTGTTTGTGCGGGCCTCTGCAGCTCACGCAGGAGCCACGTGACAATCTCTCGACGCCTCGTTGCTGATCGGGGTCTGCTGGAAGACAGAGAGCTTCTCCTCAGCAGACGCAGGAGCCTTGTGACAATCTCTCGACTTCCTGTTGCTGATCTGGGGCCAGCCCGAAGGCAGAGAACGTCTTGACTGGTGCCTTGCTCACAGTCATCACTGGCCGTACCGTGGTGCACTAGCGCTATTGTACCTTGGGGGCAAGGTAAAGCATTCTTCCCAGGTAATGGTCTCAGCAGCGACTGCTTCCTGATCAGCACTTGTATGAGACGCCTCTTTTTTTGCCAGTAGTTGCGGCTTCATATCATTCTGTAGCCTGAACGTGAATCGCACTGCAGGACCGTAGCGCAACCCTGCACAATGGTCCCATAGTGCGGTGTCAAGGTCATTGTAACAGCAGCGGTGTAACGTGGTTCAAAGGCCAGCAATGTAGGCGGTGGCAGACTCACTGGTGCCTGGTCGCGGCGGCAGAATTCGTAACACCGGGCCAGCTCTGGTGGTTTTGGCACAAAGTGGTCATGTAGCACGGCGAGAATCATTTCTAGTGACGTATCCTTTAGGTGGCCGGCGCCCCTAGTGCCTTGGCCAACTGAAAGGTGGTAGGACTGCTATGGTTGAGAAATGTCGCTCTCTTCTTGCCAGCGTCAGTAATGCTCTGTGCCTCCAAAAAGAATTCGAAGCGTTGTGCGAAGCTTCCCATTTTTCTTAGTGGGTGATGTCGAAGACCTCGATCCCATCTGCAGTGCTGGCCATCATCCTAACGAGTAGGCACCAGGCTTGCTTTCTTTTGCGCCGTTGACCAATGACTTTCCATCGCATCCCATCCTCGTCGCCAGTATTAAATAGCGTGGGTCAGATGAGGTGGCAGCATATGCACCGGGCCGTATTGGCAATGCATCTTTATTGCTATAACGGAACCAAACACAAGACTGTGCATAACTGGTGTAACATTGCTATTATGTACATATGTACATCTAATGGTTGCTTGATCAGGCTACACAATATACTGACTTCAGCAGCTAGCATCAATACACAACATTATGGATGCATAATAAAGCACAATGAATGCTTCAGTTGGCAGTCAGCTTTTGTCCTGTGCAGTTCTTCCTTTTTTGTCTTTTGTTTTCTTTCTTTTTCGCCCTGTTTATGTTTAAAAATGATGCAGAAATGAGCACTTATCAAGCTCCTTGTAAACAAAATGCTATTCCAGAGCACCACTCACAATTGGACAAAAAATGATAAAAGCTCGGCTGCGTTATTAAGAACTGAGACTTCATCTGGAGAAGTGAAGTCACACACAGAATTTGCAATGCCAATCATGCTAGTGGGACACCCTGGAATCCACACACCTTGTACACTGCAGGGGGAAGAGCTTCAGGTGAGGACTCCGAGCGCTGTCGCTTGCGTCGCACCACTCGTGAGCCTCTTTTAACAGTAGTGCTGGACTCAACATTCTTGGTTGCATCCATGTCCTCGGGAGCAGACTCAAGCCGGCTCAGCAAACCTGCAGTCGCAGCCAAGTTAAGCCAGTCATCAACTCGAGTCTGTGCTCAGGCTTTGCATCATTCAACACCTGGCAATCAGTGATCAAAATTAAATTCATATAAATAGTTGCACATGATTCCCGATTGTAAGTAATATTAACCCTTTCGAGACCATTGAAGATTTAAGATGTTATAAGAGTTTTCAACAGCAGTGCCGATGACAACTATGCTTGTCATGAACAAAACTGGTCCCATGTGAAACCAATGACCACTACTTGTATCCACTGTAGTTGTCAGATGCCCCCGTTGTCCATGTTGCTCCAATAGGGTTTAAGCGCGAGACAGATGTGCAATTTTACGTGCGATGCGGCGTGCAGCACGTTGATGTGTTGGCACTGGCATGCGCGTGTCGGGACACACGGGGGCAAAGGAGCTATCAGCAACAGGCTGATAGCTCCTGCGGCTCCTCGGCATGCACGGTTGGACGACTTCGTATTTTTATATCCTGGCGGTGCAATGTTGTTTGTTTTAAGTTCCAACTCAAAACAAACAACATTGCACCGCCACACTTCATTCTATAAAAAATAATGAATAAAACGCCTTCATAGACAAGCAATCGCAACAGCGGCAAAAGCTGATGATTCATCGACTTCGACTGGTAGGCCTAGCATGGCGGGCGTCTGTTATCACCATCGAGCGCTTGTTTTTGACAACACTATTGAGCTTTGCTCTCGTATATAATGCGATAGCATATGCTATTACTTTCTCGATGTCATCAATGTGAAGAGCAAAGGTGGAGGTGAAGGGAGCCTGCCCACAGAGACACCGGTGTCCCTGTGCTTACCTGCGAAATGACCTACCTAGCATCGCCGCTCACAATCTCCTATCTCGCTAATGGTTTGAAAACGGGCATCGTCTTGCAGAAATGGCACTTTAAACATCACTTTATTCAATCCGGAATAATTTTAAGTCGCAAAAATGTACTCAATGTTTGTCACGCCACCACAAGGGGCAATGTCAGCAAATCCAGGCTCACTCCACTAAATTGACTCCCCTGAACTGGCCTGGACCACTGGTGATGGGTGCGGCAATAGGGAGACGGCAACACCACTGGCATAACGCCAGTGATCTGCTCACGCTGCGATTTGCTGTGGCCATGCAGCTGTCGGATGCGGCGGCCAAAATATCTGGCCGGTTCGATGCACGCCAGACATGCGACGCGGCGGCGCAATGCGATGATACGTCACAAACGTTACCACTCTGGCTGCCACATCGTTGCGCCGCATGCCGCATCACACAGAAAATTGCACTGTTAGTTTCGCGCTTTATTCCTCCTCCTGTGTCTCGCATTTCATTACACTGCATCTTTTGACACCGTGCATGCCATCTCTCCTTTCCAATTAAAAAAAAATGAAATAATAGTACCGTTTCATTCAGGAAAAAAAAAAAACTACAATGTGAGCAAAAATTTTTTTCAGTCGTTTTGGCAAGAATTTTTCCTTTTCTTTCGGTCACGAAAGGATTAACCGAACAAATGAAGCTCTGCCACCATTTTTTTCTCCCTTTGCATTATCACTAAGTCATCTGCAACAAAGAAGTAAAGTCACATTAAAATGTGTTTGAAACTACCAGGCCAAAGCATCTTGTTGGAGCGATATCTACAATCAAATGGAATCATCAATAGTCCAACAGTCCCAGCATTATGACAGTTCACCAACACCAAGCCACTGCTAAAACAGCTTGATTGCAGCTTATTTACACATGCAATTCATCCTTGCTGACAAGCACCTTCATTGTCTTATCAATTTTACCTGCTGTTGCGACTCCGGGTCCCGCGGGTCTCAGTTTGGTAGCGGGCCCCCGTCCTAGGACCCATCGTCGAACAAGTCAGATGAGGCGCTCGTAAAAACGACAACTTATTTACATGGTTGGTAACTGAGAATTCGAAAAGAGGTTATCAAGTGATCAGAACTGTACAGGGAGACTGTTGAGCTGTAGAACTGTGGAACTTCAAATACACGAAAGTCTTCGGCTTATATAGCGCCTCGTTGCCAACCCTGGGCACATTGTCCGCGGCTTCCGCCAATAGGGCACTCCATGGTCTAGGTGCTCCACCCACGAAGGAGAGGAAAGACGTCAAACAATGCATGCGGAGAGGACACAGTTCACTTGATCCCCAATTATGGTCATCAAAGCACTGCACCGACGTTTTCGCACACGTCACCAAGTTTCACGCACGTCCCATGATTTTGGTTTCCAAGATTCTTCTGGCAGCTGGGTGAGGTTCGAAAAACCGGCTGCCAGTACACGTGTCAAACTTGCCTGACTGTTTGGGTAGGACAATGTAGTGGTGGGCCAGCATTTCGTCAAAATATGCCACCCCATTCAGCCCATCTTATGGAGAAAGGGGGGGGGGGGGAAGGAGGAGTAGTCAACTAATCCCTCGTCGGCGGGCTCAGGCAAGGGCTGCAGCAGATAGTGCATTATCCTTTTCTTCACCCCCACATTCCATTCCTGGTTGTTTGCTAGAAGCTGTGGCTTAGCCGCACATATCCCGGGGCTCCGCTTGTCCTCGCAAGATGCAGCCACAACCAATTTGGCTTTAGCTTGCAGCCTGAACTGCAAATACCATGCTGGTTCCGAGATTTCCAGATCCTCGGTGACCTGGAAAATGGCCCAGCTGCCTCCTTGTCTGCCTCGAAAGCCTTGCTCGCAGCAAACACAATGGCCTTTCTTGAGTCGAGCTCACAATGGCCTCTCTTGGCTCGTGCGTTTTCTTTGCGCGAACCAGTCCCGAACCGATCGTTCAGGTTTTGCCGAGAGGACATCAACCCGTCTTGACGGCACACCCTTGCTTGGAATGAGTCGAAATATTTTCGCCCCTTTCACAAAGGCCGAAAAACCTTAATAATGACAACGGTCGTAACACTGCTTGTTCGTCAAATATCGCCATATTTAGTGCCATTCTGTTCCTACACTTCACAAATTAAAATATTCTTTCAAACACAGATTATGTCACTGTAAAACAACAGCACCAAGTAGCTCAACTCTCTTAATTAGTTCAGTTAGCTTCTATTCATTATAACTACAGTGACCGCAAGAAACATACAGATAGCTGAAATTTTATGAACAATGTAATGCAAATTTTATGAACAATGCTTGAAACTTCAACTCAGGTTAACTCAACATGCCAGGGTTCACCGTCAAGCGCCAGCTCCCAGAACATCAGTATTACAATGAAGCCGGCATCGCAGTCCCACCAAAATCTTCGGAACTTCTCGCATCCGATCTTCGCGGACCCAACGCTGCCAGCCATCACACGTATGCCATCACCTGTTAGTACTTCATGAACTGATTTATATTGTGAGCATTATTCATATGCGTCATCTTATCATATGTACATACTCATCACAGTCTGACCTGTCTTGTGGGGCAGAGGCTCGGCAAGTAAAAGAAGTGTCTTGCAGCCAGAACGCTGCCTCACAAGTGGTGGAGAGTGCTTTCCAGTCCCCTGGTCTTCTCCCTGCAGCGTTTTTCTGTTATCTGCGACTACAAACCATCCGTGGAGCTCCGGTCATGTCACCGTCTGTGCAGTCAGCCCATGGTCATGTCGCAAGACAAGCATGAAAACATGGCTTCATCCACCCTGCCTGCACCTCTGAGCATGCCTTCTTGGACTGTCACCACCCCTCAAAAAGAACCCCCGATGTTCGTCGACCTTCGCGGTGAAGACGTTGAAGACTGGTTGGATGAGTACGACCGCGTGAGCGCGCTTAACAACTGGCATGATTCTGTGAAACTGTCCCGTGTACCGTTCTATCTGACGGGGGTCACTAAGACTTGGTTTTTCAACCATCAGCTAGATTTCCCAGACTGGCCTACCTTTAAGCAGCAGCTTTGTCAGATATTTGCCAACCCTTCTGTCCATGCAGCAACGGAGAGGAAACGCGCATTCGTGATTGACGGTGCCGACGAAGCAGCTCGGCCGCCTGATGGAACCACGTTCACAATTATATATTTGGACACAGTGAACAGCGCTTTGTTGGCATTTGCAAAGTATAAGGCATGCAACGGAGAACTGCAGATTTTCCGCGACGACGGGAAATTCGGACTTGCCGTGAAGTTGCGTTTTGTGTGTTCGACCTGTAGGGAGACTGCGTCATTGTGGAACTCGCCGCGCGTATGTAGAGATGAACGTATGAAACCTTTTGCTGTGAACGTTTTGGCCGCGCATGCCATGCAGGCAACGGGGAACAGACAGACCACACTGAATGATGTGTTCTCGTTGATGGGCATCAGCCGTCGGGGTCTTTACACAAAAACGTGGCAACACTACGTGAAGATGAAGTTGGCACCCGCGGCCGATCGTGCTGCATGCAATTTGACGAGCGAGTACGCGCAACCGGTTCGCGAACTTTACGCCGAACTTAATATAGGCCACGTGGGAAACATCGCGGTGTCGTTTGATGGGTCATGGATGACTCGCAGTCATTTGTCGTATATCGGTCTCGGCACCGTCATAGAATTGTTCAGCGGGCTGGTGCTCGACTTTGTTGTTTTGAGCAACTTTTGTGCTGGATGCGAGTCTGGCCCAAAGGAAGGTGACCCTTTTTATGCAGCGTGGAAGGAGCATCACCAGTGTCAGAAAAACTGTGACAAGAAGGCTGGGGAAATGAAGGTTGAGGCTGCCTTCATCCTCTTCAGGAGGTCACTTGAGCGGCACAACCTGCGCTACACAACGGTGCTTTGAGGCAGGGACAGCCACAGTTACCTTGCGCTACAAGAAGATAAGGTTTATGGGTATATCCCTGTGAAAAAAGAGAACTGCATTAATCATGTCTAAAAGCGTATGAGCACTGCTTTGCGCAACTTGATTGAAAAATACAAAGGCCCTGGCCTTGAGAGTCTTGGAAGAAAGGGCCGCTTGACAGGAGACCTGATCTCCAAGCTCACCAATTATTATGGGTGGGCTCTGAAGACACACAGTGGTAATGTTGATGATAGGCACACAGCAGTGATG